CTATTTTTAGTTTATTCTAATGAGGTGTTTTATTTTTTATTTTTATATATATTTTTATTTTTTCATTTTTAACAGTTTTTGGATTTTAGTATTTACCAGCTGGAAAGAAAAAAACCTTTGCTCGCCTGCAGGAAAAACTACAAAAAAAATTTGTCTTTTCTGCTCAAAATCGTGTGTTTTGGTATCTACTGCTCAAAAATGTGCTTCAGAAATTCTTTAAAATTATATTTCAGGCTTCATTTAAACAAACCATAAGTAAGGTATCATTATAGTTAATCATTACGTATAGTTGGCCTTTTTCTTTAAACAGTGCACTTGATTGTAGCTCCTAAAAGTCAGCGCCCTCTACACTGAGTTCAGTTTGATTGATGCTTCCAAAACCTTGTCCAAAAAAAAAGGAAACAAATTGCTCCACTTATAGAAACACAGAAACACATCTGGAAGCCTGCCAACATATATTACAGCTTTATATACAAATGTATAAATGTACAATCAATAAATACAGTACGAAGTATTCTTGAGATGTATTGTGAACATTACTGATGGCAGTCCATGACAGATTTCTGTTTTTAAGGGCTTTTAGTGGGCTAAGGTTAATTACTGACATAACCTTCTTCAAGTGAGACAAATCTTCTGTAACATTTCTGGATGATTTTTAAAGCATCTGAAAATATTTTTGTGAAAATAAGAAAAAAAATGAAAGAATGCAAATCCAAATTAGAGTGCAGTCGACATCTTTACATCAAAATAGTATTTTAAAGTGACCCATGACACAAAACTGGGCTTGAGTAAAGAATGAACGATGAGAATAAGGTGTTAACATGTAGCTCATATTAAAAGAACAAATAAGGATGACAGTGTGGACAAAGAACGCTGTGATTCTCTGTTCAATAGATAGAAAATGATTCTTTGGTCCTTGTCGATTGATGGCAACGTAGTGGTTTGAAAAAAAAAACAAACGCTTGGAAAACAGAAGCAAACACAAAGATGTGCTATAATTCTGCCTATCACTATGAATCATTAACACTTTACCAATAATTCAAGTTCACATTGGCACAGGAAACACATCATTTTAAGGGTGTAACAAAATAAAAACAGTACATACAGGATAAACAAGCATAAACAATGATTATAAAGCAGCAAAAGCCACTAATAAGATAAATTTATTTTGTTTTTTGTTTGTAAAAATGTGAGCACATCATAAGGAAGCAACCAGTAGTCAGCAGAATTTGCAAAGAGAGATGCGAAGTCATGAGTCGGCTGGTTTCTATCATTGTGAATGAGGTCGTGTTGGTTTCACTGGGAGGTAAAGAAGAAGAAAAAGGAAAGGAACATTTACAAAGTGTCCTGGTATTTTCCATGTTTATGTGTGTCGTCCATCACTGGTGCAGATGGATGATGTGCATGATGGGAAATCTTCAAGTTTGCTTCAAGCGTTGTTCTGCTCGAAAAGGCTACCCTGTGTTTTGCGCCTGTGCATCCTGACAGAAGAAAACAAACAGAAAACATTAGATGTGACGCACCTAATGGCATTAAAGGAGACATGTCATGCTTTTAAATTCTTCTTTTTCACATTTAAATCATTCATCTGGGGTCTATATAAAGTGGAACTGCAATGCTTTGGTCTGAATTCATCCACAAGCCTCCAGTTCACCACTTTTCTGAGGTGTGTCTCAGATCATTTCATTTTGTTACTGTCTCTTTAAATGGGCGGTATTATGTATTGTCCTGGCACACACTTCAATTCTATACCACAGTCAAGTAACTATGTTACCGTCAGTTGTTATAAAAATGCTGTATATATAAAAAAATTAAACTTCTCATCATAGTCTATCTAAACACCTTGAAATTGCCCTCTGTCTCTTTAAGGACCTCCTACCATTTCAGACACTTCCACTCTAGCACATTTTCAAACAATGCTTTGGGGGAGGGGTGCTCTATGGGGTGAGAGTTCTACTTCAGACTGAGCTCCTGGGAGGGGCTTTGTAGAAATAGGCGGTGCTTTGTTCCAGCAGATTTTTAGGCAGTTCCACGTGGCCACAGGAGATTCAAGGATTTTTCACTCTAGTTATGTTTTTGATGAGGGAATGATATTTTAACTTAAGATAAAGCTCAAAAAAGTTCATTTAGCATAATCATCCCCCCCCCACACACACACACACACAAAAGTCAATTAATTAACAAATACAAATAAGGTGCTTCATGCCCCGCCCCCCCTCCCGCTTCTAGAGCGGTACATCCCAGTGAGGAGTTTACAACTATATAGCGGTGCAGAAACTTTTTATTTACAAAATAATTAAAATATGTCAACAATGGAACACTAGTACATCCAGCCTTACATGATGGAGCCAGAGTCTGACCCAGAGCCAGAGGAGAATGAAGACCACCAATTTGTTGTTGGTAAGTTCGGACCTTATTTAGGAGTTCCCTCGAAAATAATGTGATGTAACAGTTCAGAAAACGTAACAGAGAATAAAGAAAGCTGAACGAGTTGAAAAGTTTGAGCCAAACAGAATATAAAAATATTTATGCAGCACCTGGTAAGACTAAATTCAACTTTTCTGCACTCCTAGAGTACACAACAAAATGTATTTAAAGGTTCAACATCTTGTAAAATCAACTTTTTTGAGTTTTGTGTCATGTTATAATGTTATACTCTCATAAAAACATGCCTAAAGCCTTGCTTTGACTCATTCATGCATGTTTGAGAAATCCTGCAGTGCTTTTAGGCAGTCATGCTGGGGAGCAAAACGAAAGGTGGGGACTAGAAACGCCTCTGGGTTGTGTCCTTTTGGGACAATCTCCTCCTCTGGGATGTGTCTTTAAGCCGAGCTTCCTCATGGCAGAGCCCCCCCCCACCACCACCACCTCCTCCCCACACACCCCACCCATGACTCCTGCAGACTCTCAGCAATAACAGAGCAAATGAGTGAAAGTGAAACTTAAACTGTCTGCTGCACTTAAAACTACTTCTCACTCAGTGAAGCTCTTTTCAGATTCAAAATACCTTTGAAGAAATGTATTTTCAGACGCCAAGTAAACTGCATCATAGTCCCCCTCCCCAACCCCCGCACTGAAATGGGCGGGACAGAGGCGGAAAGTGGTTCTTAAAGGAACAGAGGCCAATTTCAAGGCGTTTAGAAGAGGAAGTGATGAGAAGATACGTTTATTTTGTATTTAAACATAAAAACAGCATTTTAATAAAAACTACAGGTGACATAGATACTGTATTATGGTATAGTATTTAAATGTATGTTTGAGAAACACAAAATATTGCCCCTTTAAGGGCTGAAAAGGTGGACTTTGCATGATGTGTCCCCTTTAATTGTATTTGTTTTTTTTAGTGAAAACTGAGTTTTACCTTCTCTCTTTGCGGCTCTGGTTGTCTTCTTTTGACTTGACAAAAACTGCGTCTTCTCCTCCCTGCACAAGGAAGGCGAACTCTCCGTCCTTTGCGTTAAAAATCACCCTGAGATCACAGAAAACACACATTTTTACCTCCCATTCAAGTTTAAATCTGTGTTTCTGCGCTGGTTAGTTCAAACTCACTTGGACTGCGTCTCCCCGCACTTGATGCGCAGCTTACGGAGGTGAAACTTGTTGCTGCCCCACCAGTTGGACCAGCTGATGATGGCGTCTTTTTCCCAGCGTAGCTTGACGATCATCAGGTCACCGATGTCCACGTCAGTGGTGATGAGGAAGGAAAAGGTAGTGTTGTCCTGCAGGGCCGGTCTGCGCGGGGGGGGGGGGGGGGATGTTTAAGGGAATGTTAGCAGCTTTGTCTGAGGTTTCTCTTGAAGCATCATGACTTTTATTTAGAATTGACAAAAGGTTCAGAAACTGTTTTGTGTACGTACAGAACAAAAGAAATGTCCTCCTTCTCTCCATGGGTTCCATACAGTGAAATCTTCATCGGCTGCTCGCTGAAGCTCATTTTGTCCATGCTGAAGAAGTGTGCCTTCACTTGGTAGTGGAAAACTGCATGACAGAAAAAACACTCAGCTTCAAACTCATAAATCTCCTAAAACAGCTTCACTAACCAAACCTGCAGAGTTACTTCAGTTCAGTTTTCTTCACACAGCCTCCTAAATGCACGCTTCTTTCTGTACCGCCTGAGTTAAGTGCTCAAGAACTGCATTTAATCTGTCAGTATGACCACTAATTCCTCTAATATTTCTGTTGGCTCCAGGCAGTCACACTCACGCTAAGCATGTTCACCCAAAGCAGCTAATAAACTGAGGATTACTTTTAATTGAGGCATGTGCATGATTTAACTCTCAGTAATCTTGTTAAATCCAGTCAGACATTTCTACTCCTCTCAGTCTGTATCGTTTGCATGAAACGAACCCCGTCGTGTTTCTCCTGATGATTACCTTTGTAGGGCATCATTTCACGAGTCTTGAGGTACATCGTGGTGCTACGGGCCGTGCGGACCTTGTTGATGTTGTAGCCGAGCTTGTTGCAGCGGTTCTTCCTGCAGCTGAGGCACATCCCCTTGTTGAAGGTGTCTTTGGAGTTGCAGCGGTAGGCCATGCTCTGCTGCTGGTAGTTGAGCAGGGAGTCGATGAACAGGTGGATGGAGCGCTCGTGGGAACATTTGATGAGCTGGTCCATGTCTGCAACGCGCACAGAGCAAAGAGCGTAAAACCTCTGCAGCATTACTCCATCATGCAAAGCGCCACGATTACTTCCTGATGTTACATGCATTTTATAAACCACGATGACCAAAGAGCATTTCTCACTTAGTTCTGCTGGGACAAGTTAAAACACAAGCAGCTGAAAGAGGGAAACAGTAAAACTTTTGACTCTGCAGCACAGTTTGCATGTTAGTAAAAGCTGGAGCTCTGAAAGTTCAGTTTCTATTTTCTTACGTCTTTGTAAAACTGCATGAATCTGTCTGAAAATTATGTGGATGATTTGTGTTTCTTTTTGATGATCTGTTCTGTTCCCCTTTATTTTATATGGCAGAGGATTATGGCCACAAACAAAAAAATCCCCTTTTTTTAGTTCTGACTTTACTGTCAGAATTCTGAGAAAAAAAGCCACAATTTTGGGGAAAGAAATGTCAGAATCCTGACATTAAACTTGGAATTCCAACTTTTTTCGTAGAATTTTATAAAAGTCAGAATTGTAGTAAGTACCTGGGGGGACTTACTTACTTACTTACTTACTAAAGTTATAATTGTAAGAAAAATGTCAGAAATTTTAGAATAAACTCAGAATTCTGATTTCAAAAGTAAAAATTTTGACTTCAGCTTCAGGTGTCTGATTTTTTCTTATCATTTTGTCAAAATTGTGGGAAAAAACTTTTCTTCTGAATGTTGAGATCAAAATCAGAATTGTGTAAGTTAAAACACAAGCAGAAAGACTGAAACGGTAGTTCTTACTACTTACTTAATAAAGTCAGAATTGCAAGAAAGAAAAGTCAAAATTCTGAATTAATTCTGAAATAATTCTTAGAATCCTGTCAGAATTGTGAGGGGGCGGAGTCAGAATTCTGACTTTTTTCTCAGAATTCTGGAATTATAATGAAAACTGTGGGGGAAAAGGTCAAATTTATAGATTAAATTAATACATCTGAGAAAAAAGTCAAAATTTTGACTTTATTCTTAAAATTATTTTTTCTAACAATTCTTTCAGAATTGTAATTTTTGGTCCTGAGGTCTGACCTTTTTATCAGAAAAAAGTCAGACCCCAGCAAAAAATATGTTTTTGCTCTGCACCCCAATCCTCTAGCTTTCTCTATGCTACTTTTCATTCGATCAGTTTTGTTCTCTCCGAGTCAGCTCCGCCCACTCTCAACTGTTCCCAGTCTTCATCTAGCCCAGGTGAGACCACTTTCCTGTCTGTACATTCTGTCTTTTCTCACTCATTCCTATGTGGAGCATTGATGTGTTACACCACATCTGGTTTCCTTGTGCCTTCTCAAGCCTTTTAGTATTTCCCTTTCCCAGAGTCTGATTCTCTTTKTTKTTKTTKTTTTTTTTTTTTTTTTTTTGCTCAAGCTCCTTGTGTACATCTGCACTCCTGGGTTCAGTCTACCCAAAACCTTGACAGCAGACTTTGTGTTACTTACTTTGGAGGCCCTTGATTCCCGCTGAGGCAATCCCCATCAAGGTGTTCTGGATGTCGCAGCCAGGCTGGAAGGTGCCTCCGTTGGGGTAGATGTCGATGTGTCCCACGGGTCTTTGAATGCCGATGCTGCGGTCCGGAGAGCCCCTGGTGTTTGTGTGCAGGACGTCCACAAACTGAGCATCGCCTCGGGACAGAGTGCTCTGCTCATCTGCGTGCTCAAAGGTGGGACCAGCGGGATCCAGACCTGGACAGAAAATCAACTTTTATATTCCCTAAAGTAAAAACACATGGTTAAGGATAAAATGAAGGATTGTTTCTCGAAAAAATGCAGCAAAATATAGTTTGCGCTCAGTTTGACCTCTTTCTGCCTTGTTCAGCTCTTGAAGCTTAAAATCGTGAAACGCTGGAGGCAGCATCTGAGCGCTTTTAATGATCACAGTAAACACAGCTTTCTTTTAAGCAGGTCAGAGAGATTTCAAAGCTGGATAGACTTCATCATAGTAAACAGTGGGGAGCTGGCCCAGACTGGTTGTATGCACAAATACAATGCAGACCTGGAATGTCACGGCTGACAGATTATCTTTTCAGTAGGGGAGGCTGGGAAAAAAAAAGACTTGCACTTAATACTATAGTATGGTTACATACTATTGGATTACTAAAATATGTTGTTTTAGCATGAAACTGATTATTTAGTAAGAACTTTAAAGTGTCTGTGACATCAAATTTTTGTAATAAATATGAATGCATTTTTGGAAAGATAATGCTAATAACATATTGCAGAAAACAATTCACGCCGCTGAGATGAACAGTTGTTGAGATACTCTCATGTGAAGTAACAGGAAGTGATGTCAAAGGGGTGATGTCTGCATGTGAATAGAGCATTGCTACAAAAGTATGGCGTTGTATTTGTGCCATCAGCTTGAGCACGCAGAAACACTGATTTCAGAGCAGATATCAATATGAACAAACAATAATTTGAACCGTGTGCGTTCAAATCGCACACATGCTCACACGGCTCCCTCCCTCCTCTCAACTTCCCCTCTGCTCGCTCGCAGCTCTGACTCTGCGCTCGCAAACCAAGTTGTGTGAACCACATCACCAGCCAATCACAGACAGGGTTTTTTTTCATCCAATCAAAGCATTTGTTAGAAATCTATTAAACCAAGAGGCTGAAGTGACAAAATCTTAGATGTATTAAATCAGAAAACGGTAATATATTTAAATTTTGTAGCCCAACAATATTTACTTAGGCATCTGTCCGTCACTGTCATTGTGTATTTTAGAAAATACTTCTAAAATATATTAGGATCCATTACTTGTTGGTTTTGATATTATTTGTAGACATTCAAATTCTATAAGCACTCTTGATAAAACAGAATATCAGCAATGGAGAGGGACTAATAAATTAATTTGAATATCTACAAATAATATCAAAACCAACAGTAATTTATCTTAATGTAGTTAAGAAATATTGCATATAACAGCCTAATAATAATTATAAAGGTTAAGTTAAACATGTGTTTTTTTTCTACCTGGATTAGAGAGATGCACTGCCTAAATATACAATGACAGTAAGCGTATTTGTATGCTTAACTAAATGTATAAAATATATCTTATTATTATCTTTTGCTGATTTAATGGGCCTGCATCTAAGATTTTGTCACTTCAGCCTTCTGGTTTAGTACATTTGCAATAAGTGCTTTGATTGGATGAAAAAAACCCTGTCTGTGATTGGCTGGTGATGTGGTTCATTTACATACAACTTGGGTTGCGAGCGCAGAGACAAAGTTGCGAGCGAGCAGAGATAAAGTTGAGAGGAGGGAGGGAGTTCAGCACAAGCAGAAAGAGAGTTGAAGCAGGGAGGGAGCTGCATGTGTGTGATTTGAATGCCCACGTTTCAAATTATTGTTTGTTCATATTAATATCTGCTTTCAAACCAGTGTTACTGCACGCTCAAGCTGATGGCACAAATGTAACGCCATACAAAGGCTGACAAGATAGACTGTAGAGAAGAATCACATTTGTTTTTTATTTTTGGGTCACAATCAGAAAGAGATGAAGAAGAGTCAGAGTTCAAATAATATTATTTCAATAAATAAAGGCCAGGGAGTTTTCTTTCTTAAAGAGTTCCTCTTTGGTGTCACTTCCTGTTTCACTTTTTTCTGAGCCAATTTTAAAAGAAAATATTCATGTGACATTATGTGACAAAATGGGAAAAATTGTGTGTTTTATGTATTTTGATTTGACTTTTCGTATTTGAAGGATATGCATTCCACATGCCCTTTAATGTTTATTCTATTATGTGCATTAAAAGGATGATGGTCTACCTGTGATCCTGCTGATTTTTCGGTCGGTGAGGTCTCCTGCAATCCCAGCCACATGAGCCCCCAGACTGTAGCCCAGCAAATGGATCCTGTCCCAGGGCAGCTGCAGCTCTTTCTGAAAGCCAACGGACAGGTGAGATGAGCAAAGATCCATCAGGATCCACGTCCATTAAGAGAAAATCCTACAGATATGCAAATCCTATAATTATCCAAGTGCTCCAGTTCCATGGAGAATTAGGGAAACTGTCCAAAATGAGGGAGGATTTTGTTGCAAGCTTTAAAACTTAAAAGTTACACAAGCAAAAGCTTCAAATTGTTACAAGGAGCTGCGTTCCACTGACTCTCAGCCCAGCAATAACCGGCGGTGCGCCACAAACACGACCATTAAATGTGTTTATAGCCATTTCAACTCATAAACAGCAGGAAAACGACTCCACAGCAGCTTGATTGGGAACAAAGCCCGACATCAGACGTAGCGACGTTCAGACAATGTACTAGTGCCTCGGTCAACAGGGTCAGACCCTCAAGGACAATGCAGACCACAAGATCCAGCTGTTAGCAAACACTCGTTAAACTTATAAAAAGCGCTTCTGTGTGAGAACAATCACCTGCAGCCAGGAGACAAACTTGGCCACGTCTCGGCCCACGAGCTTGGTGTAGGCTGCCGAGGTGGGGTAGTGTTGGTTGGCGCGGGTCAACCAGTCCACCACGATCACGTTGGCGGTGGGCTCGCGCTCGTACAGAGCCGACACCAGCTTCGGCACCCAGCTCTCAAACATTCCTGTCACCTAAAAGGAACAAACACACACATGTATTTATTGAACAGATTTTTGGGAAGTTTACCAAAATTTAAGCTATGTTACATTCAGTTTTGCTCAGTTATACAAGCAAAATATTTTGTGTTGCTTGACTGTGAGTCAAATCATCACATTTTGTTGTAATTCTGTTGTTTCAAGTTTGAAGATTAGATTCAGTGATATCATTCATTATCAAATGAGATAATAAATGCTAATAAAAAGGATTATTTAGTTTTTTAGGTCACTGCAATGTGTCAAACGGAAGGCCCATGAGCCAAATGTGGCCTGCCACAGAATTTTACGTGGCCCAGAAGAGCTTCAAAGATGTATTAATGTCTTAAAACAACTATGTGCTGCTTTAAAGCCAGCATTGAGCATAAACTACATCTCCCATAATGCATGTCAATAATTTTACCCATGAAAAGACGGCATCGAAACACTATGTTGAGGAGCACAGGGTGCAAAAGTAATCGGTGAAAGCCATCATTTAAAATATTTGTTTCACCAGCTACTTTTGCTGCAGTCCAGTTGTACTGGGAAGTGGGAATTTCCCTCTTAAAATTAATATTTTTTTACAGGAACACCCCTCTTGTGGGAATTCCCTGTTGGAAATTGGGGAAGTTCAAAATTCCAGATGGCAGCTATGCTCACAACAACTCAACTGTGAGTAAAACTCTCTTATTTTTACTTTTAATGGTACTTCTGTGTTATTTATTTCAAATTTAGTCTGTTGTACCCATAGTACTTTTCAGTGTTTTAAGAGGACATGTTAAAGCTCTGTTTCCATGCAGAAAATACCACATAGAGCTCAAAATTGATTGTTAGCGGTGCTGAGTGCAATGAGACGAGGAACGTAACATTTAGTCGATGTTAAACACAAAACGTTGAAGGTAATTACATCTGGACCTTTGAGGGCCACCATAACACTCATTGTGCTATGGTGGCCCCTCAGTGAAAATGAGTTTGACACGTCTGGTTCACTGAGAAATCTTTTAGGTGTTTGGTGTTTGAATAAAGTTTTGCATGTTCCCATAACTTTTAACCTTAAGTCACTTCATACATTTTACGCCTACATGCATGTTTTTCTCATGACCTTTTTTTTTGGCATACTGAGTTAATTTGTGCAGCAAATGCAGAAAACATGTGTGTAACTTTGGTCACACAAGAGCCTGAGGTCAGCTGCTGCGTGGTGTGATTTATTTTGACTTCGGAAGTCAGGTCTTTGTCCTGCTGCTGGAGAAGTGCCAGGACCTCATCAGGTTCAAATTCTGCTGCCGGACTGCCAGCGTTTTAATCACGTTTTAGCGGCAAAATACACAAACTTTAGGCTGCGTCGCGTTGGCAGCAGTTCAAATGGTGCTTCACGTTTCAACAACTTGTGGGGTTGGGGGGTTGTGATGTAACTTCACACACATTTCACAACTTCCACACAAAAACACACTGAAACGTTCAACGTGACGTACCGTCCAGCCGTGTATCACAATGAAGGTCTGTGTTTCTCTGTTGAATTCACACTCTTTGATGGTTTCGGGCCTGCCGGGCACAATGTAGCACATGTCATCATCTGGCAGCTCTGCGGTGCGCAGGGAGAACTTGGACACGATGTCAGAGAAGTCTGTCAGCCATTCAGTGGTGGTTGGCAGAGGAGTTGAGGTGACTGTGGTATTTGCTGACACAACAAACACACACACACATGCACAATATAATTAGGTTCATGAGGCATGACAACAATCTGAAGAGTTTGACAAGTTTCAGTCTCCCACCATGAGCTGGTTTAAAGCTGTGGTTGTTATAAGAAAATAAAAACAAAAAAAAGGCATTAACAGGATTTAGTTTTGAACACACCAAGGGTTATAAGGTATGTGAGTGTCGCCCCCTTTCGTCTCATCTGAAGCACAACTTTGTCACATTTATACATAAAATCTTGGATTTGTTCAAGAAAAATAATAATAAAGTGACTAATATTGCATTTTATCTAATCAACACTAAATAAAATCGGATCTTTAATGAGTTTTATGTAAAAATAAAAAAACACATCAATTCAAACAAGGTTATAATTTTCTTTTTAATGAAGAGGCTGAATTGTTCTGTTTTTATTTAAAGGTTGAGTCTTTGTAAAGAGATAATGCCTCCATTTTAAAATACTCTGTTAAATACTCTTTTTCTGGTGTTTCCTCAGACAAAAGGCTTCTCTTCATGCGTCCACGGAGCTGAATGGTTGGACGCAGAGCTGAACTCTGAAAGCTTAAAGGAGGTGGGGGTTATCTTCGGTCAAAGTGGAACAGTTTGCATGAATTAACCCGTTTCCTGAGGCCACTTTACCTCATCACATCTGGATCACTGTTAAAATAACCAAAAATACATAAATAAACTCATTAAAATAAATACGCAGGTTCTTACCGAAAACAGTTGTGTTGGTAGGTTCAGCCTCTGAAGAAAAAGTTGCAAAGATGTTTCCCAAAGTTATCCAAATGGTCAAAAAGCAGAAATTTTCCTTTCCCATGTTATTACTTTTAATCCTAATGTCCTGATTATTATTATTATTTTTTATTAATTTATTTTTTTCTGGTGCTGGTTGAGCAGATGTGTATATATATTCTCTTAAACCCCAAAGCACCGGTGACAAGGTGGTGTGGAGCTGTGGTTTAAGGGTGAAGTGGCTTAAGGTCTGTAACAGTTTACTGCTCCAAGTCATCTTTATGGGTGGCTTATTTGAATATTCAAACATGATTGGCTGGAGGTTTGAGGGAGGAGACTAAACTTTGTCCCAGCTCTGAAAAAAAAAGAAAAGAAAAAAAAAAGATTATTCCTCCTGTGAGGAAAGAGGTGGCCCCTGGGCTGCAGAACACAAGGTTTCTCTTAAACTTTGCCATCAGCTAACTGCCTGTCTGTGTGAGTCAAGATTACTGACCTTCACCTAAACCCAATTTATATAAGGAAATAAACTTTTATCAGACATCCATATGTTAGAAACAATAAGATGATTAGTGTATAGGTAACTTACTGTTGGAATAAACTGCATCTTTACTTTGAACTACTGTTAATTAAGTAAGCTAGTCCATTTTATAAGTATGGCACTTTACAAAAATTGTAATCACAATGTGCTTCACAACAAAATAAATACAAATATACAGTATAGGCATAAAAGCATACAATAAAACAAGGTAAGACTAATTAAATACAAAAAAGTAACACGCTTAGCTATGTTGTACAAATCGTTCTTTGTTCATGACAGAAAATTACAGTTCATCATTTAGAAAACTTTTGAATTCTAAATCTAACTCTAACCAATATTTTTTTTTACAAAACACATTGTTTCATTAAAAGTCAAGCTTGAAATGTTTCGCGTGTGGTTGGAAAGCCTATTTTAGCAGCAGCAATGGCTTTAAGCAGAAATAATAAACAGCAGTAAAAGTTGATTGGAAGTGCATTTAGTTGGTTTCACAGTTTAGCTGGAAACAGAAACCAACAAAGAATAAAAACAACGGCACCAGATGACTACAAAACAAACCTCAAACAGATTCCAAAACAAGTGCAAAGATAAGACGGGAGTTTTTCTCTTTTGTATGAGCGTGGCCGTTAGAGTGGGGGTGGGGGGTGCTTCTATCTGGGGGCCCACTGTCTGATAATCCGCCCAGGATTTCAAGGTCCCACATCCATCTGAGAGCTGTGTGTGTGTGTGTGTGTGTGTGTGTGTGTGTGTGTGTGTGTGTGTGTG